GAGTTCATCTGACTGTCTAACAGCAGGCGCCAGGCTGCCAGCATCAGTGCGACTCGAATTTCAACCCATTTTCTCTGCCTAACACCTCGCGCCCCCCCCCTCCCCACATAATAAGCCGCAAGGGCAGCCCAGGACCTCCCGCACGGGGACACAGGCTTCACCGAGCCTGCCCGGCGGCTCCCCCCTTCCCGCCAGCACACTGGGCTGTAACCCTAGCAGGCCAGGGACAGGGGCGCCCGGGCCGCCGGGGCACTGTGTGCGCGTCAGCGGGTTGCCCACCTCCCTGGGAGATCTGGGAGCGGCCGTGGAGAAAAGCAATTGAAGAAGAGAGGGAGACACACCCCGAGCAGGGCCAGGTATTGTACCTAGATTTAGGCTCTGCTCCCTGAAAGGGAGGTGGGGGCATCTGAGGACCTGGACCAGATGGATTCGGCCTAAATCTCAGCACAGGGCCCTTAGCTTTGCCCGTGGTTTGGCGGCCACTTGGGTATGGTAGCAAAAGTTCTGCGTCGAACAGCTTTTAGTAAGAGAGTCACCTGCGGTTAGCTCTTTTATTTGAGACGGAGAGACAGGTTCCATATTTTAGCTTTTGTATTTTATCGGGTGCTCACAAGTGTCCACGACTCAAACGACAGTAAACACCAGGGTGTTATAACCTGGGAGGTCATCCTATAGGTGCTATGCTGTGCCTGTGTTTTAATTTCCTATGCGTTAGCTTTCTAGGTTAATGCGTGTAGCTCCACCTCATTTCTTTTTTAAAACGTTTTTAAAATGTTTATTTATTTTTGAGAGACAGAGATGAGTGGGGAAGGGGCAGAGAGAAAGAGGGACACACAGAATCTGAAGCAGGCTCCAGGCTCCGAGCTGTCAGCACAGAGCCCGACGCGGGGCTCGAACTCACGAACCGCGAGATCATGACCTGAGCCGAAGCCGGTCGCGTAACCGACCGAGCCCCCCAGGAGCCCCGCACCCCATTTCAATAGCCATAAGCCGTGGTGTTCATGTTCCCACAATGGACGCCATCACCTTGTGACGGCCATTTAGGCTATTTCTTGGTGTCTCTGTGCTTGCTTCTCATGTTAAAAACTTTTTTACTTTTAGAAAGCGGCAGGGACCCTCTGCACACGTGACTTCACGACTCCGTGGGAGCTTCTGAGACAAATTCATGAGAACCCGAAATAAAAACATGCTGTGATGATGATGGTGAAGATGAGCGCCCTTCTTCCTGCCCCCCCTCCCCCTCCCGCAGAGGCGATGGTGCCTAACGTCCCTTGCAGGTCTCAGGTGTGGGTGACAGGAGGGGCAGGAAGCAGGGGACACGGGGAGGGGGGCTGCATGGGGAAAGGAAGGCAGGCGCGTGTCAGTAGAACCCAGCAGAACTGCGGAAATCTGCCACCGGCTCTGGACCGGGCCGGCCGTCACCCCACGGCTTCACTGACAGGATGTGCCCTGAGGGGGTGTCGCAGGAGACCTCCGGCCACGTTACCTTACCTTTGGGCTGGGGATTCTCTGCAGCCCCTTCCGTGCGGTCCTTGCCCGCAGCCCCAGAGCTAAGGGTCGCTCCTCCCTCCCTCCCTGGCCAGGCGCAGCTCTGCTCGGGCTCCCTTGTCCCCTCTGCCGAAACGAGGACACGTCCCGCCGCACCGCCGTGGCTGTCCGACCGTGGAAGAGGGACGTTCCAGGAGCTCCCGCCTCCCCAGCCCCAGGCCCTGCCAGGTGCGCGTGGCTCATTAATCATGTCCACGGCTGCATTCTCTGGGCCTCTCCGAGGATGGGCGACATTTAAAAGCCACCGAGTGTGCACGCGAGTTCTGTCTCCGTCTCTGGATATTTCATGGCTGTGGGCTGGCCCCCCTTCCCCCGCTGCCCTCCACACCCGAGCTCCCCTACATGTGTCTCTGCGTCCTTCAAGTCAACAATGATGAGCTTCAGAAAGCTGCTTCCCAAGTTGTTCCGAAGGAGAAGGGAGAAACGTGTGCTCGGAGCAATCTTGCGACCTCCGGCTCAGTATGTCACCTGCCCGCTTGGCACCTGGGCTGGTAAGAAAGCAGCCCAACATTCACACCGTGCACATCTGCCTTCAGAGGGAAACGGTCAGGCTGAAGCCACTGCACTGGGGGTGCTCCGCACCAGCCTTTCTTCTTCTCTCCTGGACACTCGGCTGAGCCACACAGGCGGGTGCGGGATGCAGGGGCCAGCGATCCACCAGAGTCACAGGGAAGCCACCTTCGCATTGTCCAGGGCATCCCAGTGACACCAGACAAGCAAAGGCACTGTGGCCAGATCAGCCGATGCTCAAAGAGCGGCTCTGTAACGAGGGTGAGACATCCAACGTCTCTGGAAGTTTAGTTCCTCTACGCAACTTATTTTCCTTTCTTTGTTTTGTTAAATGTTTTACTTATTTTTGAGAGAGAGAGAGAGAGAGAGAGAGAGAGAGCATGAGTTGGGGAAGGGGCAGACAGAGAGGGAGACACAGATTCCAAAACAGGCTTCAGGCTCCGAGCTGTCAGCACAGAGCCCGACGCGGGGCTCCAACCCACGAACTCTGAGATCATGACCTGAGCCGAAGTCGGACGCTTAACCGACTGAGCCCCCCAGGTGCCCAGAACTTACATATTCTGAATAAAAACACTAAAGAGGGGCACCTTGGGGGGCTCAGTCGGTTGAGCGTCCGACTTCGGCTCAGGTCATGATCTCACAGTCTGTGGGTTCGAGCCCCACGTCGGGCTCTGTGCTGACAACTCGGAGCCTGGAGCCTGTTTCGGATTCTGTGTCTCCCTCTCTCTCTGCCCCATTCCCCGCTTGTGCTCTCTCTCTCTAAAAAATAAAAACATTAAAAAATACATACACTGGTTAATGAGCGAATCTGTGAGCATGTTTGTTTTGAAGCATTTTGCCTCCTGGGAAAGTCACAGGGACATTTAACATTATGGGCCGTCAGTTATACACCCAGTTTTCTATAATGTTTTCATCGCAAGCCCTCAGAGTGCTCAGCTTCACACTTTCCAGGTAGGCAGATGATGAGGTTAAAAAAAAAATCAAGAGTTGGGGCGCCTGGGTGTCTTAGTCGGTTAAGCGTCCGACTTTCGCTTAGGTCATGATCTCGCGGTTCGTGGGTTCGAGCCCCGCATCGGGCTCTGTGCTGACTGCCAGCTCAGAGCCTGGAGCCTTTTTCAGAGTCTGTGTCTCCCTCTCTCTCTGATCCTCCCCTGCTCATGCTCTCTCTCTCTCTCCTAGAAAAAAAAAAAAAAAATCAAGAGTCGCCGCCAGGTTGCATAGGAGAACTTTTAGTTTCTAGAATATTCCTGGGCTCCAGCCTTCTTCCAAGGCGAACACACTTCACTTCTGAGCTGAGCCTCCAGACTTCGCCCGGCTTGCACCTCCCCCTAGGAAAGTCTGCGTTTTTGTCTGGCCCGTGTGCACTCTCGGGCGAGGAGCTGGCTCCCGGCAGCTGGTGGGACTGGGCCACAGCCTCGCGAGGCCGAGGCACACGCGCACCTCTCACACATCCGTTCCCACTCACGTATCGGGACTGGCGTCTTCCCTGCATTTCAAATAAAACTATTTTTAAAAAGCACATGAAAACGTGTTTGTAATGAATTTTATGCTGATGGTGTGACTTACTGGACTATCAGGGAACTCAGCGTGAGATCTTCATCTTACATAACCAGAAATTCCCAGCGAGTGGTCAGGACACTGGGCCTTTTCCTGCACAAACACAGCTGTTGTTTTGAGAAAATATGATTAACGGAGAATTTTCAGGAAGAATGCTGTGTCCATAAAAATGAATTTTGCCCGCGTGGCTCAGTCGGTTGAGCGTCCAACTTCCACTCAGGTCGTGATCTCGCAGTTCGTGGGTTCAAGCCCCACGTCGGGCTCTGTGCTGACAGCTCGGAGTCTGGAGGCTGTTTCGGATTTTGTGTCTCCCTCTCTCTCTGCCCCTCCATCTCTGTCCCCCCACTTGTGGGCTCTCTCTTTCAAATATAAACATTAAATTTTTTTTAACTAATTTTAAATTGGCCTCCTGTGAGATGCATCCAAAACGCGCACACACACACACCTTTATTTGCGACAATCAAATGAAATGTGCCCTGCACGAGTCTCCCACGCGGCCTGGCCCGATGGGAACGTGGGGGCATCGTGTGCTGGTCCCGGGCTCCTGGTGGGAGGGGGGGGACCACAGCCCTTTCCTCAGCTCTGCTCTCTCCCTAGCTGCTAGGCGCTGGAGACACCCCGTCGGAAGAAGCTGCCCGCGGGGCTGCACAAAGGTTTTCACTGAATTCAGTCTCACGTTAGAACATTCCAGCTCTCTGGCCCAGATCTTCCTTTCTCGGCCGTTGGGCCCAAGTGCCGCCTGCGCGCATGTGCGTCCTGAATGTGCTCATCGCCCGGGGAGGACCAGGCTCTGCTCCGCGGTGGCCCTGGGCAGGCCCAACGGAGCGAGAAGCAGGAGCTGGCGAGGGGGGCGGGGATGGGCCCCCCCAGGCCGCCCCTAGCCTGGCTTCCCCCCTCGTCGGGCTTCATGGAGGGGGTCCATGTACTGATTGCTGAGCCCCCCCCACCGATGTAACCTTTCCCTCATGGGGTCAGATTGTTCCTCTGAGTTCCGGACCCCAAGTGCCCGCCTCGTGCTGTCGCCTGGCTCTGCCTACTCGACCCGAGGGACAGCTGCTCAGATCTGAGAGCAGGTCTGCGGCCTTGATGGGGAGAGTGTGCGGGGGCTTCCTAGGGCAGGCGGATGCCACCCGGTGCCGGCCCTCCCTCCCATCCCAGCTCTGGGGGTCCTTATGGAGACCCTCCCCCAGGACCCAGAGCAGACGAGGCTGGAATTATGACACAGGTGGTGGGGACCACGTCTCCGGCACCGAGATGGGCCCGGAAAACTGGCCGCGGACGGCTGTGCTCTTTACTAGCTTCGCTGGAATAACCAGGACATCCATCCGCACAGACGAGCAGGGGACACAGCCCGTGGGAGGAATATGGCCTCTGCGATGCACGTGTTCGATTTTCAACCATTTTTTTTTTTAATGAAAACTCATTTCCAAAGGCAAGAAAGACATCACAGCAGAAGGAAGCCCTCTCCTAAGAAAAGCCTGAATTGTCTACAACGACCAGACCTACGAGCTAAGCGCATGACTGGGTCCTGGCCCCGCGAGAGGGCCCCCGGGGGCAGAGGGTGGCCACCCGGTGGGGGCCTGGGGCCGGGGAGACGCCCAAGCGTTGGCGAAGGGCGCACAGCAGAGTGCCCAGCGCGGCCCTTCCCACAGGGGAAGCAGCGCCGTGGCCGCGTTCCTTCCCCAGCGACCTCACGACAGGCCGCGAGAGGGACAAGCCGGCCGGCCCAGCGCACGCACCGCAGGCTGAGGGACGAGGCGCAGACTTCCGCGTCGCAGGGGGGCCTTAGTCCTCGGTTACCGTCTCTATCGCGGAGGGGGAGGGCAGGACGCAGAGGGACATGCTGCCATCGCTGCAGCGCCCTGACCCCACCCTTCACTCAGGCTGACCCGGGGCCTACCCGGCAGCAGGGGTGGGTCCCGGGGAGCCGTCAACTGTCAGGAGGCCAGGCGCGTCCCCGCACACACGCCTCCGCTCAGGCTGCGGCGTCAGAGCCCCCGGACGGCCCCGGGCCGAACGCGGTCGCCGTGTCAAACGGATGGGTGGCCAGGTAGTCCTGGTACCGGCCGTCGATGAGCTCGGCCGCGCTGTTGCGGGCCAGCCAGCAGCGCACCTGCTCCTCCCCGTTGTAGATGCTCCTCTGTTTCCAGACCACGGGGACCCGGTGTCCTCTCACCTGCAGGACGTGCACGGGCCCCTCGCCGAGCCCGGAGGGCTCCTGGGTGAGCGTGGCATCCTGGTTCAGGAACTGGCCTGCGGGCACACGAGAAACATTGGGTGGGGGTCAAGTGCAGGCCACACTGGGCTGAGGAATCTCGGTCCCGACGAGCCCCACCGAGACCCCCCCCGCGCTCAGGGGCGACCCGAGGCCGGGGGACACGTGCTCTCCGAGGCTGACCGCACTCCGAGGCTGCACCTTCCCAGGAGACGCACACCTTCTGTTGCCTGCCACAGAGTGCATGCTGCCAGAGGGCTGCGGGCCAAGTGAGGGCACGGCCGAGGCCAAAGGAAGACCGGCCGGCGCCCTTGGCAGTCAGGCAGGACCCGGCCCATCCGGCTCAAGTGCCAGGAAACCCCGCCTTCCCACCAGGCCCTGGCGGCACTCGTGGGCAAGGGCCCCGGGAGGTGGGGGGGGGGGGCCTCTGCGCCTGGAAACCAGAGACGGTGCGGCTGCTCGGGGCCGGATGGGGGCCCACGCCCGTGCTGGGCCGCGGACTGCCCTCGGCTTGCAGCTTCCGGAGTCAGAAGCCAGACCCCGAGAGGGTGATTCCCCACGCCTGTGCCCCAACGCTGGCGGCAGAAGCCTCACTCCGGGAACCCGACCGCCACGCTCCGACCCGGCGCAAGCGGCGCCCACCTAACAGCCCGTGGCAGCTCCCAGATAGGCCTTCGCTGTTGGCGATGTAGAAGCCAAGGTGGTCCCGCTGGTAGGCGGCCGGCCTCTTGTACAGGTGAATGAGGACGACGAAGGCGACGGTGCCCTGGATGGTGACGGTGACGTTGGCGTTGGCGGACACAGACACCTGCAGCCCGCGGCTCCCCGCCTCCGCGCTCTGGTTGCAGGGGAGGACCAGCCTGTCCCCGCCGTCCAGGATGACTCTGCGCGGCGTGATCTCCAGGTATGACCGCTCCGGCTTGTTGGCCAGGATGGTGATGGTGCGGAAGTAGGTGCGCTGCTTCTTGTGGCCGCCGGGGGGCGCCGGCGCCCCGATCAGCTCTCCGTTCACGGTCACGCCTCAGAGGCAGCGGGGAGAGAGGCCAAGGTCAGCAGGCCAGCCACCTGCCAGCCCACTTCCACGCTAACATCTGACCATCTGACGGGACCTCCTCCCTCCGCTGGCCTTGACTTTGAATCTCCGGACCCATGAAGCCTGACTCGTGGGTACGCAGGGGCCACCCAGTCCTACTGAGCAAATGAGCCAGTGGGTGAGTGCGTGAGTGCATGAAGGCACGCCTACGTACCCACCTTTCCTGTATCTTGGGGCGGGGGAGGTAAGGGGGTGCAGGTCAGGGTACCACAGAAGGAGGTGCATGCGTCTGTTTGCTTTCGTTACTGGGTCTGGTTGTAGTGACAAAAGTCCTGCACAGCCCTGACGTCCACTTCCTGTCTGCTAATTTCCGCCGATCCTGATGTGGCCGTGGGCAGTGTGCGAGAATGCGAGGGTGGACGTCTTTTCTAGTCCGAAAACTCAAGTTCCGCCCCTCCTAGGTGTGGATGCCTGGACATGTCACTTTAAAAAACTGAGCCTCTATCACCACATCTACAAAATGGGCACACGACACTGAGCAGAACCATTGTGAGGATCGCAGGAGGTCACACGTGTGTAAGATGTCGGCTGCCGTCACACTAAACTCCCTTGCTCTTTTCCTTCTTCATCACTAACACCACGGCGGCTTTTCTAGACCTGAGCAGGGCCGTGAGCCAGCCCCTAAGGCTCCGTGCTGCCCCACTGGGCCGCTGGCGGGAGAAAGTTCCAGGTGTAGTGGCCTGGCCTGAATTACATGGTGCCTGGGGAATGTGTAATTGGAAAGACTCAAAGACGTCTATCTAATGAACTCTTGTCTTGCTCTGCTCTGGGGATAACCTTCCTCTAAAGCTTGACCAGCGGCTCCGCAGACATTCCAGGAGGAAAGTGCCTTTCCTGGGACAAGGGGGTGGGGGGGGAAATACCAGCCTCAAGGCTGCAGGCATCGCCTTCTGGCGGTTTCCCACCATGGACGGCACGCTGAACACAGAGACGCCAGGAAGGTGGGTGGGCGCCTCCTAGGAAGGAGAGCACCCCGGGGAGGGCACAGTCAGGGAGGAAGGGGGGCACCCCGGGGAGGGGACAGTCAGGGAGGAAGGGGGGCACCCCGGGGAGGGCACAGTCAGGGAGGAAGGGGGCACCGCGGGGAGGGCACAG